AGGAAGAAGATGACGCGTATTATTTTGCTTTTGATACTAAAGAAGAGGGGGAGGAAGAAGATGACGCTAATGATTTTGATTTTGACAGAAGAAGAGGGGGAGGAAGAAGATGACGCTAATGGTTTTGAGTTTGATCCTAAAGAAGAGGGGGAGGAAGAAGATGAAGATGCTCTCAGTTTTCTTATTCACCTTTGATTTGGATGCTAAAGCAGAGGGGGAGGAAGAAGAAGAAAATGCTGTCAGAATATTGGATGCTAAAGCAAAGGGGGAGGAAGAAGAACTTGTCATGGGCCGGCCGTTCGATGAACAAACGTGCAGCCACCTACCATCGGGGGTTGGGGTGCGTTCTGGGTGGTTTTGAACTTTTGGTTGACTTGTTCAATTTATCATGGGCCATTCGATGAACAAACGTTCTGCACGATCATCATAACTTACCATGAGGCATTGGGGTGCGTTCTGGGTGGTGGGTGGTTGGTGGACCTGGGGTGGTGGGTGGTTGGTGGACCTCTACATCGACCTGGGTTTCTCCAACGTGCACCTGGCATGATTTGTCACTCAGTCAGATTCAGTCAGATCAGTCAGTATCAGCTGCAACTTCATGTTCATAGTCAGTTTCAAGATTAGCTATCGAACTCATGCCAGTTGTAAAAATGTCAATTTACTATTCTGCCTATCTTTTGGCCGGAAGGAGGACATAATTGTGGATCATCAAGGAAACAACTGATAGCTAAGCATGAATGAATGGTTGATGCCAAAGAGTAACATAATTCATCAAAACAGAAGAGTACAGGCAAAGGCAACACAGGGAACACAAACAAAAAACAAAGACTCCATAGATACATTGATTGAATCATTGAACCATTCGCTGATATTCGCGGGCAATGTCGGGATCGGTAGCACAGGGAGCGCAGGGAGCATCAGGAGCATGGGGATCAGGATATGCAACGCCACCTCCACCTATTGCTCCTTGCCAGATGACAGTGGTGCAGTATTTCCACCTTTGTCACTGTGTCGTAGTAGTCACATGTTCTATTGACTCCTTCAATGACTTAGTAGACTGTGATCGCCACTGTTGAGAACGTGTTGAACATCCTGTTTCGAGGGTTTCCTTGTCACTCGTGGCTTGCTCGTCCGTGCAGCAGCTGGATTGTTGGCTCTGTTTCCATTTGAGCCACCTGAGGTATATGTTCAACTCCAAATCCAAAGCTTGCACGCTGAAACTTTCTTTGCTTTGAGAGAGTCTTGGCTGCAAGTTTTCAATTTAAAAATGTTCAATAAGTAAGAACTTGAGATTTGAATTGACAATTCATGTGTTTGACGTGTTTGACCATCTGAATTATAATCTTTGGACTCAGGATGTCAACGAGTTTATCGGGCTCCTTGAGGAAGTGCTTGACGACCCAAATCAGAGGAGACCTGTACTACTGCGCTTGGAGTTGTTCAGGACCAGTCTGGAGGAAATCCTGCAGTACACAAGGTCGCTTTGCAGGTTCTTTGCTGTTGACTGTGACCCAGAGTAGGCGGCAGGATGTTTTTTTGTCACTGGACTTCACTTCACCAAGAGGCAACCACTGTTTGAACGACTATTTCAAGTCCCATCAAGCCCGTGTGTGGTCCTTTGGTCAAGTGATGAATGGTTCACACAGTTGAACTCACAATGATAAAGTCGATTGTGAGTATCAATTTTTGAACGGAGCTCAGCGAATGATAGCTGCTCACGTGAGGTTGAGATCTTTGAAGGATTCACAGTAATTGTCAATCGCTGGTGATTGACTCATCCTCACCGAAATGGTCCACTGAAATGAGTCCCTAATTAACCTTTTCAGGCAGAGTCCTGACCCATTGAAGTGGGCGCCCTGTGAGAAGTTTCGCTGTTTCTGAATCACATTCACATTCACATTCACATTCACATTCAATCACTCATTCAATAGTTTCACATTCTTAACGTTCACATGCTCACATGTCTTTCTATCTCACATCGTTGCTAAATCTGCTGTGCAACTCCCATGTCGTCCCATGCCACTGTGTCACTAGAAGGCGGTCCACCATTCTGTCATGACTGACATTGGACATGAACAAATAAACTGACATTTCAAGTCAACCGAGCCAGGTCCTCAACATACCTTCGACTTGCTGCACCTGTGCTGGAAGGCAAGGATGTGTCGTCGTGTTCTGTCATTTGTTGATCGCGCGTGTATACCTTTAAGGTTTTAACTTTTGGGCTGCGGGTGGATTCACTCACCGATTCTGATTCTGATCCATGGTTTCCGAGTATTTTTTATATCGTGACTGTTTCTTGAATTTGATGTCATGACAGGAGTTTGATTCATTTAATGTTTCCTGGTTTTTGCCAACCACCGATCTATGGCCCTTTGTGGATCAAATGAAGGCGGCCTTCATACCCTCAGAGGGAGCACATCAAGCAGTTGCCACACTCAACTTGTTACCACACTCAACTAGTAACTAGCCTTCAAACTGACCTTCAACTTGCCGCACTCACAGTCAGATCAGATAAAATGTCATTTGCAGATCGAATCACAGTCAGATCAGATTCAGTCTTCAGCCGATGAGAAGATTCAGTTTCAAGCTTTTCAACCCTCAGCTTCAAGTCAGATTCAAGTCATCAGATTCAATCACTGATTCAATTTTTCTGCCTGCATGCCCTCCAACTCCATAGCGGTGGCACAGCTGCCGGAGAAGTACTTGAAGATCGCCTTGCAGCTGGATCGCGCTGGCCAGCAGACTTTGTTTCTGCTGTACCTTTGCTGCAAGTGGACACATGATGACACATGAGTGGCCAACTGAGATCATTCATTGGCCAACTGCCATGGATTCCGCATTGCAAACATTTCAAGGTGGAAGCTGGATCCTGCTCTGTCCGAGCAGGCGTAGCTTGGAACAACTTTTGCTAACCCATGCATTGCAACTGCAAGCTTGTGTCATTGCTTTGTTTGCTTGTGTCATAGTTGCGCACGAGTTGTGGTGTAGTGGAACTGGATCTGAGGATTGGTGAATTGGAGAGCGGCCGCGTGTACAACTATGGCGGGTGCTTGCACTGGAAATACGTGGAGCGTGCCTCGCTGGCCACGAAAGGTCGCCATTCTCGCTTGGCCCATCAAAGGGATGAGGACGAGAGCTGCTTGGTTCACATTAAGATTTCAGAAGCATGCCCATGGTATCATCAGTCTGATCAGGTTGCGTTTTCATGCCACGGGCTTGCAGCTCTTACCGTGTCTTCTAAGGCCCAGGCCCACCTTCCAAACGGCAGCGTCGTTGACCGTCCTCAAGACATCATCTTTGAAGTGGCGGACCACATTTCAGTTCAGTGCCACAATTTGTGTTGGATGCTGGAGTGTCTTGCTTGCACTTATTGATGTTCAATTGACCTTGACTTACTTGCTTGTGCATTTTCTTGTCATTTGTTGGTTGTTGACTGGTTGTTGACTGACACATACTTACATGGCTATTCCTGCTGAGAACCCACATGCCCAGGAGCGAGGAGCATGACCGCGCCGCCATTGATCGATCCATCTTGAAGCACTGCGGCTTGGTGGCCAGGGTGCGGGAAAGCGATGCTTGGCTGCATTTTGTTTGATAGTCTTGGAGTGCGTGTTCGGTGTCTTGAACCATTGATTCACATGTTTTGCGGGGTCTTGAACCATTGATCATGTCTTAGCATCTTAGGTGCTCCGGAATCCCAACACAACTCGCGTTATGTGGCGGCTGTTTAGCTCTCCTGCCATCTTGGTCTTGATCAACTGCTCGGCTGGGTATCACAGAGCCACCACGGTCACCGCGATCATGTATGCCTGGTTGATGGTCTTTTGGCGACAATAGTTTTGTGATTTAATTTTGCTTGCACGCTTCTTGCTTGGGTTATGCCATGTTACGCCATGAGTTCACGAGCGATCGCTGAGGACCAGGGCGTGGAGGTGGTGGCTGCGATCATGTCCTTATCAGGCAATTGGCCCGCGGACTTGACTGCGGTTTGGGGCTTCATCCATGGCCAGCTTGGCAG